GGAAGGGTCTAGTCCCGAAACGTCAGCCTTCCTGCTCCTCTGATGCTGTTTGGCCTGCTGTGTTCATTCAGCTCTACACCTTGTTATCTCAGATTCTCCAGCATCTGCAGTTCCTACTATCTCTGAAACAACCTTATTAATGCTGTGGTTTTAGCAATTAACCTCATATACTAACGACTTAGATGAAGGGACTGACTGTCATCAAATCTGACTGCAATATGAGGTGTTAGGAAAGCAAGTTGCAAAAAGGTTCAAAAAGAGTTAGTGAAGGAATACTGATGCGTAAAGTAGATGAACAAAAATTTAGCACAGGGAGCAAAATGCCAGATAAAACAAGGAAAGCAGCATATTTAATAGTTTGGCATGCTGCAGTTCAGCAAGGCGAGCATTTGTGCATTAATCATGATGTTGGCATGCAGGTACAGCAAGTAATTAAAGACAAATGGAATGTCTGAAATGGAGTTAAAGGATATGTTTATTGACATATCAATACAGCATGCACATGCACACTAAATACTGAACATTTAAAAAGTGTACTATTTCACACTTTATCACCATTTTATTTATATCACCTCTAATGTACTATATTTGTTAAAATTGTACATTTAATTGGTATGTGACTTCTGCAATAATTTGTGGTGTAATGTTTTAGTTCTGAAGAGTCACATTGGATTCAAAATCTTAAAATTGTTTCTATCTCCACAAGTGCTACAAGACCTGCTAGGATTTTCCAGCATTTTGTGCTGGTTCCAGATTGCCAGCATCTGCGGTATTTTGCTTTTTATTTAAGTGAGAGTCACCATCTGGCCTTTTGCCAACTTTAGCCAAAGATTCATTTAACCATCATTGATCCTATCAATTGTGATGTTCAAGAGACAATTAAGCCTTGTCTGGCTCAATTACATTGTGATCCTGTTAATTTTATACTTTACTGTGTAACAGAGACTTATGGAATAAAACCCATATACAGAAATATTTTCTGGTATCCTTCACATATAGTACTTCAACACCACTGTAACTCAAGGACATCATCTGTAGCTTTCAGAGCAACTCAAGTGCCAGACATAAAACTTACCAAGGTCATGGGTTTTGTTCCTGGGTCAGGTGCACAGAGGCAGAAGAAATCCCAGATCTATAGAGTTAATTTAAAAAAAAAATGGAGACAGCCACCCACACTTCCAAATTCCATTCAGGGAGCAAAAGGGGCATGGCTAGTTTTGTAACCAAGCCAACTTGGAAGAGGCCAAGAGGCTTTCGGTCCCAAAAGCAAATTGGCTAAAAAGCCTGTTGCCTTGGGACTCCAGCACAAGTTACTTTTCTTAAATTACAAAAAAATGTTGACAACACAAGACATCCCTCCTGCTCACACCATCACCCCCACCTCATTCCCCGTATCCCATCCAATGTCAATCTACCCATCCATGATGGCCCTTTATAATCTCTGTGCCACTTTGTGTCCCTAAATATCCTATGGCCTTTACAGTTCATATGCCAACATAAACCCTAACCTCTGCCAATACACCTGGTACCTAGCACCTAGGGCCAACTTTAAGGTGGCACTCTGACAGTGCATACTGATGTCATTTGAAAGGGGTGGGGTGGGAAATCATTGAAATTCCTTCAACTAGTCAATAAACAACTAGAGCTGTCCATCAATATGCTCACTCAATAGATATTCCTTGTGAAAATGTGTTTTGGAAATCAAGCATGCAGCATAAATCCTGTAATGGTTTGTTATTAACAAATGCGTAGTCTTTTTTTAAAAAAAAATCTAAAACGTCCACTTTTTTTTGGAACAGTCTTGATCGTTTAACTGCTTCTCTCTTTCCACATCCAACTCCCCCAACACGAAGAGTACATCTGGGACCTCTTTCCTAAAAGGCATAAGTATTTTGAAACTTTCCTTCAGCCGTTACCCTCACCCCATGCCTCACCATATAATCTAATGGCTTCTGCTCATCCCATCACTCTTCATATGCACTGTTACCCAAATGACCCCCACCCATGATAACTTGGTACCTGGTTTTGACCCATCATCCTTTACCTACCATGCCAACTCAGCATTCATGTATACTTGTAAATACACATTCTTTATTGCAGACAACACTGAGAAAAGCACTCAAAAACAAATGGACACTTCTTGATAAAGTTGAGACTTGTTGACATTGCTTGATTAGTTGTGCAATTCTGAGGAGTTTGCGCATAAAGGTTCATTTGCCTCCAGTTAACAGTCCCAAGGACTCATGATTTCTAGCTGATCCCCATGCCCCAATCCCAAGTTATCCTGGGACCTTATCTGCAGGGCCACCTCTATTCTCCAAAGGGGTTCCTGGCCATCCAAGATAGAAATATTTGAGAATAGGTCCGCTCTTATTACTCCACACTCAGTCCACATGTACCACAAACTCAAATATGAACTCAGTAGAGGCACTCGGTCATTCACATGGCCAGCAACCTTGGAGAACCACCCATACCTTACGACCCTACCCTTGTGAAAACCTGAAATACTGGGTTTGGGGATTGGAGTCAGATTTCTAATTTCTTCAGTCATTTTTGCCATGGCAGATATTTCTAGGCCCGAATCTCCTTAGGAATCACAGTGTAAACTGCATCTTACAAGGGTTCTCTTTTGTTCATAGTATTTAATAAGTTGGAGTCTATTAAGAACACCATGAGTTACTGGTATACCACAACAGTATTTCTACACTGCTAATATATTGCAATGACCAGGAGTGTGCTCAGACCTTGTTCTGCATCATAACAGCTTTTTAAAATTGGGGCTTTGAAAATCAAAGCTGAATCCGCCCTAGTATAAACTTGCTTTAAGTTTAGTAGCAAATACAGAACTGGAGAAATCAAATCCAATACTTCCTTGTGCTTAAATATGGAGAGCACTAAAGTGAAATCAGATGAAGTTAAATTTTTCAGTGCACAGGAAAACAAAATATAAACCACGTTTTAAAGGCATTGAGTGAGATACAAAATAATGCAAGTATCACTTGTCATTATATGTAACAATTACTATAGCCACAAAATTAATCACTGTTCCTCTGAGCTAAATGAAACAAAGTATCTTCCACTTCATTGACAAAGACATTTGGTTTTGATCATCCTTTTCCTGTCACTACTTCCTCATCACAAGCTAATACGAGAGTTTCCCCATTGACAATCCAACAACTCCAAACTAATTATCTCTACCATCAAGAACAATTACTTGGGAACAACAGCAACCAAATTCCCCAAAGTCATTAGAAGCAAAGCACAGATCCTTCACTGCAATAGAGTCAAAAACTACAGAATTCATTGTGGGAATACCATAACCATATGGACTGTAGCAGTGTAGGAAATAGCTCATCACAATCCTCAAAATGCAATTTGGTCTCGGAAACAGATTGCTGACTTTGCACCAATCACATTATATCAATAATACCCCACCCTTCCTGCTATGTAGTACTGCATAGCTATTAGTCATCTGCAGGAGAAAATAATCTACTGAAAACAAGTGCTTCAGATCATTTATAAAGGGGTTCTGCCATTATGCGTATTCCAGCAAAGCAAATTTGCTATAACACAATTCCATTGAGTAGATGTCGACATCGTGGGCTTTGTCAAAGAATTTCTTATACACCATCTGCAAGGATCGGAAATGTTCAGAATAAGTCAATGTGCTCATTTGAAAAAGTTAATTGAATTCTATGTCATAAAGCTCAAAAATATCATCACACAGTGAACAACCATCTTATTAGCAAAATACGTGAATTCTTAGTTTGAAGAATTTATGTTGAACACTAAATGCAAAAGAGTGAGTGCTTTTAAATATATACCTTTGAGGGTAGTATTTTTTTCCTAGATTTTGTTACACAAGAACTTTTGAACTTGCTCATGTAAATCATTTATTCTAAAAGTTGTCTGTTACAACCTGCTCTTTTCCTGCACTATTTTGAATGCATTATAAATCTCAGTAACATTGTATCTTAATCCTACAATTAACTTCAATGTCAATGGGCTACACAGGCAAGAAAGTTTAGATTCCTCTGCTTCACAATCTGAAAATCTATCCAGAAGTCTGTGCTGATGAATGTCAGGTCAGATCAGCAATGGACTAGGCTGTGACGCAGATTATATTGTAGGTGAATAGGTTTTTTTTTGATAAGAGTCAAGGCTCACACAAGTGACAGGCTTGGTGTCAATACTTATAGGAGAATGGTGAGGAAGAATTGAGTGATTTTGAGTTTTATATTTTGGTGATCTGCCTCAACCCTGCTTTTCCCACAGGCCCTGCTATTTCTATAGCGCTATTTTCTTTAACATGTTGCTGCACTGGAATGCAACTATCGCGTTATAGCAGAACCCCCGTACCTGGGGCAGAGAAAGAGAAGCTGGTGGGAGCGGAGACTCAAATCAGGAAATATAAATGGAGGCAAAGGCTGGAGGTCAACACTTAACTGAAAGCACAGAGACTTAGGTCACCAGATACAATTTGAAAAATTCAAGAGTGATGTCAATGGAAAGGCTCACTGTTTGGTAATAGCTACTAAATTGAATACCTATTCGAAACTGCTTTTAGATAAAGGTAAATGAGAAATACTTTACAGGTTAAACAAAAGGGAATAGAATTTAAAAAAAACAAAAAAATCAAATTGAAAACATAATTAAATAAAACAGAAAGATGAGATGATGTGCTGTAGCTGCATGGCCTGGTAGCTGGTGGACCCCATTGTGGTTCAGAATGACTACATCTATAGAAAGTATTGATTGCTCAAGTTGAGTTGTACACTGTGGCGTGTCAGGTTGAGGGGGGGAGCAGTTACCTAGACACTGCTTCAGGAGACAGTCACACCCCTTAGACTAAACTACCTTGAATTGGTCAGTGGTTATCGTGTGACAATCAGCAAGGCAGGTAGGGGGAAATCCAGGAGGTAGTGCTGCAGAAGCCTCTGCTGTTGTCCTCAGCTAACAGGTTCAAGATTCTTGCTGCCTGTGTACATGAGAACATGAAGTATAGTGGATGAGAAAACTGACCACTGCACCATGACACAGGGAGCCATTCAAGTGGGGGTAGAAAAGAGAAATATAGTCATAATGGAAAATAATAGATAGGAGCTAAGACACTATTCCTTGTGGTCAGAATTGAGAGCCCCGAAGACTGTACTGCCTACCTGGTGCCAACATTTATCATCTCTCATCCGGGCTCTGTTGAAGTGGGAAAGAAAGATCCAGTTGTCACAGTCCATATAGGTAACAGGATAGGTGGAAAGAGGTACTGCTGAGGGAATGAGCAGCTAGGGGCTAAATTTGAAAGTAGAACCAAAAAGGTGGTAATAATCTTGATAAAGAGATGAAATAAGAACAGTTGCAAGAGATAATCTCGGCTTGGATAACAGAGTCCACTTAGGTGGAGGTAAAAACAGCGTTGGCAGGAACAGTATAGATCCCAAATAGCTGCCATTCTGTAGGAAAAACTAGAAGTCAACAAATAATGGGAGCATGTAAAAGGAATAGAGTAATAATATGGGTGACTTTAATTGCTATGTTGATTGTGTTATGCAAATTGGAAAGGATAGCTATAAACAAATTTATAGCGTGCATTAGGAATGGTTTCCTAGAGTAAGTGTGTCATAGAGTCAAACAAGGAACAGGCAGGTTTAACCACGACCTCAGAAAAAGAACCCCTAGGAAGCAGTAATAACATAATAGAATTTGATTATGAGAGAGTGAGAAACTTGGTTAGTTACCAACTGTGTTTAACTTAAACCAGTGTAATTGTAATGAAATGAGGATAGACTTAGCTAAAGTGGGCTAGGTAGATAGATTAGCAGGAAACAGTATGAAACGAGTGTTCAACATTTAAAGGTAGTAATTCATGACTCTCAAAGATAAAATCTCAGTAAAAGGAGGAAAGATTCTGAGAGAGAGATAAACCAACCATGGCTAACCAAGGAAGTTAAGGAGGATATTCAGTTGAAATAAAAAGCATGTTAAAAAAAGGCAAAAATCAGTCCTGATAAGTGGGATATATTCAGAATCCAGCAAAGGGGGACTGATAATAAAAGAGGGCAAAAATAAACCACGAGGACAAACAAACAAGGAATACCAAAGAAACAGACAATAAGAACCTCTTTAAACCTATAAAAGAGAGGTCAAAGTGAACATAAGACCTTCAGAAAATGAATCCGAGAGATTGTTTATGAGGAACAAGGATATGGCAGAGCAATTGAACAGATAATATGCAGTCTTCACTGTGGAAGGTATCACAAACTTTCCATTAATACTAAAGAGTATGGAGAGGCAATTAAGTACCATTACTGGAGAAGTAGTATCAGACAAACTATGGGGCCAAAGACAGATAAGTCTCCTGGTCCTGATGGCTTGCATCTGAGGATCCTAAAAAGGAGGCAGCTAGAGAGGTATTTGACATATTGGTTGCAATTTTCCAAAAATCCTCAGATTCTCTCGTATTAGACAACTGGAATATCCCACGGATGCCCCAATTCAAAAATCAAACGGTGGCAAAAAGCGGGTCACTATAGGCTGGTTAGCCTAACATCTATCATTAGAAACATAATGGAATCAATTAAGGAACTAGCAGCAGAACATCTGGAAAATCATAACTTAATGAAGCAGAGTCATGAAAGGGAAATCGTATCTGACTTAGAGATTTGAGAAGGTTGAGAAAGTCTCAAGAAAATTGCGGCATCTTCATTGACGGGCACAGCATACCTCCACAAATAGCTATAAAAGGTAAATCTCTTCAACAAATCAAGTCAACACATGATTCTTTTAGAGATAGTAGGAACTGCCGATGGCTGTAGAATCTGAGATAACAAGGTGTAGAGCTGGATGAACACAGCAGGCCAAGCAGGAAAGCTGATGCTTCGGATCGAGACTGGTTTCTGATTGCTTCCCACAGTTGTTAAAAAGAGTAGGTCTGAAAGATGCCACTCAAAACTTCTTTATTGGGGAATTTACAAAGGTTTAAAATCATCTTAGGAGTAGCATCACAAATCAGTCTTTAAATCCATTACACTTTGTCTATGAACGTACCCAAACAAATCTAGCAAAACCCAGGGGGTCAAACAGAAAAGCTTATCAATCTGCTTCAGCTTACTAGATATATTATGTGTCACATGGTTTCCTCAATTTCTGAGGGAAACATGTATAACATTGAAAGGCTTAAATTCATGGCTTAGGCTAAAAGACAAAAATGAAAAACTATAAAACATTAAGTAGAACCCCACAAGCCATTCCTCATTCTCATCAAATGTCAGAAGAACAAAATGTTTTCCCTGCCTTTCAATCCCAAGTGGTAGGTGACAGTCTTCTGACCAACTGGGATGGCATGGTAACAGTGGTCAGCACTGATGCCTCACAGCCCCAAGGACCTGGGCTTGATTCCAGCCTCAGGTGACTGTGTGTTCAGTTTGAAGTTCTCCCCGTGTCTGTGTGGGTTTCCGCCAGGTGCTCCAGTTTCCTCCCACAGTCCAAAGACGAGCAAGTTAGGTGGATTGGCCATGCTAAATTGTACTGTAGTGTCCAGGGATGTGCAGGCTAGGTGGATTAGCCAGGGTAAATACAGAGTTACTGGGATAGGGTGGGTCTGGTTGGGATGCTCTTTGGTGGGTTGGTGCAGTCACAATGGGCCTAATGGCCTCTTTCTGCACTGTAGGGATTCTAAGATTTTATACCTTGGTTGGATTCAGACAGACGAAGTGGGCTGAGCAGAACAACAAACTTACGGCCTGCAGCACTTGACTTTAGCAGATCACTCAAAATCTCCTCATTGGGATCTTCAAACAAGATGCAAGTTTCAACCAAACATTCTTTTAAAAAAAAAAATCACACCTAGGATGCCAATCATTCAATACTTCAACAGAATGAATTGACCACCTCTGACAAATCAATTGATCTATTACAATTACTTAGGCAAAGCTGTTTTGATTGCCTGCAATCACAGCTATCAGGAAGGCTCCTGGATAGAATGACAACCATAGCTCTGCACTTCAATATATTTCACCATAAAAGGTGACTTTGTTTCACATACCAACCATGGAAACATTCAGCAGTCTGAGAACTAGTTATGACGCACAAGAAAAATACAGCCATAATTGCGTGTCATAGCTTCTAATTTATTTGTTAGTATAGATTATTTTTGATTCTGAATTAAATGTATACCTGCACAAACTGACATTTGCCAATGAAATTGATTTTTGCAAATGTTAACAATGAGTACATTTATTTTCTCCATTTCAATCCCAGGTGTCTGTATCTTAGAGCCAGAACAGTTGGGGAGAACAGAACAGATTTCGAAACTCCTTTATTGACTGGAGAGAAAATTAAAGAAAAACAAAAATAAACAAACTTTCTTGCGTTTCTAACACCAGAACAGAATATGCTGGCACCCTAGCCCACAATTTCTTATTTACAATGAAACAAATTCTCACTTGTTGAAAGTAAAGAAATCAGAAAATGCTAGAAATACTCAGAGTTGGCAGCATTTGGGCAGATAGAAAGTTTTAATGTTTCAGGTGGATGACCTTTTAGCAAAGCCGATGTGTCACTACCTCCAACGGTTTGCTTTTATTTTAGATTTCCAATACATGGCTTGTGTACAAAATCATGTTCTGTATGAAAACATAGAAAATTATCATGATTGTGTTAGGGACAGTTAACATTTAAAGATAAATACTAACACATTTTAACTAATGAACTCACCACAAGATTTCACTAAACAAAACCAAAAACTTTACTGCACAGAAAAAGCAAGACACTAACTACATTCAGTTTTACTTACTTCTCCTTGTTCCTTCATCTGTCTGCAGTTCGCACGAATTAGTTGGGCCGAAATGCCTGTTTTGCTGCTGTATACCTGTATAATTATCTGGTATTTTGAAATCTTAGTGTTATTTACTGCTGTTAGAACCACAATTTTCAATTCCAGCTATTCTCTCAAATAAAACTTGTTGTTTAACAATTGACTGGGGATACACAGTTACTTGTTACAATTGTCTTCTTAGTGCTTTCCAGACAATTCTGTGATTGCTTTCTTTGCCATAGGGAATGGAGGGGTCCACTGGATTTCTTCATGGGCCAGGGTAGATTTTTCAGCTTCAAAATCCAAAAAGAGAGGTTATGCTACCACCTGCAGTCCACACAGAACAAATTTAATATTTTCTCAACTCAGGTACTTGTCAGGTCTGTATCCATCAGCATTGGCTCTCTTCTGAGTGAGCTGCAAACTGCCAGCGCTCAGCATACGACTGAACTACTTTTGGAGCAAACACCCCGATAATTTAACAAAAGAACCATTCATTTCCAACAGTCTATTCCCGTGAGGACATGGCATGTTTTGGAATATCCTCATAAGAGACTTTCAGAATCATTTACCCTACTTAAAATTCTTTTGTCATTTGAACCAGTAAACAACATTTTACAACTTTATTGACTTACTGTTGGGTAAGGGCTTTTGGACCTTAAAACAACTCTGCAAAGATGTCATGGAACTGATCCCCTTGGGATGTATGTAAGCATAGGGTGGGCGGAATTGGTTTGATCCATGGAGATTGAATTAGATTGACAGAAGTGCAGTTAGAGAATAATCTCAAATTAACAGTAGGCTCAGAGCCTGATGTAGCTGATTACCATGTATGGTTACATTCATCAATATGCAATAAACAGAATAATAAAGAAGGCCAAGCCTAAAACAGATCTTGACCTTGCCTTCTCCTGTGGTCTCACTAATGCCTCACAGTTTTAGTGACATTTCCACATTTTTATCCATCTGCTCCTTGTTCCTCCTTTGCTTCTTTTCAGTTCTGAAGAAGTGTCATAACAGACTATAAAACATTGATAACAGTGTGGATCTGGAGAAACACAGCAGGCCAGGCAGCATCAGAGGAGCAGGAAAGTTGATGTTTCAGGTCAGAACCCTTCTTCAGAAATGCCAACTTTCCTGCTCCTCTGATGCTGCCAGGCCTGCTGTGTTCCTCCAGCTCCATACTGCTTACCTCTGACTCCAGCACCTGCAGTTCTTACTATCTCAGACTATAAACATTTACTGTTCATCTCTTCACAAATACTGATAGACCTGTTGAGTTGAGGTTCTCCAGCACTGTTCGCTTCACATTTCTGACATCTGCCGTATTTTATACTGTCATTCCTTACTTTTATACTCCACTGTCTTTCAAATAATGGCCAACAGCCTATTTGCCTTCCATATTATCTGAACTGGAGCGCTAGCTTGGAGAGATTTATGCATGGCCAACCCAAATATCTTTGCGCTGCAGCTTTCTGCGGTCTTTCCACATTTAAATTGTCAGCTTCTCTGTTCTTCGTGTCAAAGTGCATAACCTTTCATTTTCCTGACATCACATTGTGATGATACCTTGGCTTTAAGTGGTGTATTTTGTCCCTTTCTTTTTAAAAAATGAAGAAAGGTTTAAAGAGAGGTAACGAGCACTCTACTCAGAGCCAATAAACAGCCTGAAGGACCTGGGCTTTGTTCAAACAAAAAAGGAATAGAAGCAGCCTGAATGATTGGGGTCAAGCTCCCACAGAACCAGGATTTTTAGTTTTAATTGTCAGTACAGTTACTTCCGGGGTCTTGACACTGAACATGGAAGCTGTTTTTCCCCGTACAAGTACCAGGTGTAAGGTTACTCGAGAGCCCATGGCGGTGGGGGTTAATATTAACCTAGAATCATAGAATCCCTACAGCATGGAAGGAGACCATTTGGCTCATTGACTCCACACCAATCCACACCCTACACTGCCCATGGTCAGTCCATCTAACCTGCACATCTTTGGACTGTAGGAGGAAACTGGAACACTAGGAAGAAACCTACGCAGACATGGACAGCGTGCAAAGTCCGCATACGATAGTCGTCAGAGGGTGGAATCATACCCAGGCCCCCAGTGCTATGAGGCAGCAATGCTAATCATTGAGCCACTGCCATTCATTATGATCATGACTGAACATCCAATCAAAAGCCTGTTTCTGCTTTTCCCCTCCATATCCTTTGATCCCTTTAGCCTTAAGTGCTGTATGCAACTCCTTGAAATCATAGTGCTTTGCCCTTGACTGCTTTCTGTGGTAGTTAAATCCACAGGCCCACCACTCTCAGTGAAGAAACTGCTCATCTCAGTCCTAAATGATTTATCCCAGATCATTAAAACAGTGATCCCTCATTCTGGACTCCCCCACTAGAGTCAGAAAACTTCCTTTCTGCAACTATCCTTTCCAGTCTTTTTAGAATTTTAAAACTTTCCATGTGATCCTCCCTCATTATTCTGAACTCCACTGAATATAATCCTAACCAATCCAACCTCCCCTCAAATGTCAGTCCCACCATCCCAAGAATCAGGGTGGTAAACCTGCATTGTGCTCTCTCCATAGCCAGAGCATGCTTCCTCAGATAGAGACCATAACTCCACAGAACATTCCAGGTATGGTTGTGCAAAGGCCCTGTATAAAATTGTAGCAAGATGTCCCTGCTTCTGTACTTGAATCCTCTCACTAATACACCACTTGCCTTCTTTACCACTTGCTTACCTTCAACAACTGATGTACATGAAGGTGTAGCAAGGACACCCAGGTCTTGCTGCACATTCTCCTCTCTCAATTTAATGATCTGCCTCCCTGATTTTGCTGCCAAAATGAGCAAACTCACATTTATCCAATGCGGTGCATTTGACACATTTGTTCACTCAGCTTGTCAAAAATCACAAATGAAGCAGTGCATATCCTGCTTGTTACCTCAAAGAATTAGTCAATAATAGAACCATATATAAATTACACAATCTATTGCCCAACTGACTGCGGATTTGAAACAAATTTTACACTGGCCAAAATGTTTATAACATTTGCAAGGCATTTATTAAAATATTTAATAAATTGTTGAACTATTTTAAACAAAAGACAATGCTGCTTCAACATAATCATCATATTACCTCAAAAAGCAGCTAAATCTTGAGTTTCATTGAATTGTAGTCAAAGAAAGGACAAGTCTTATGGAGGTACAATGTAACTATGAAATATGTAGTGTTGCCATGACCGGTATGGAAGAAGGAGATAGTGGACAAGAAAGAAAATACCATTTAAAGAACTGGTGGGAAAAAAAGTATTATTTAATACTTGAAATGATAGAGTAAATAGAGTCTTGTCATAATCTTTGAAATATGCGAGTACAAAAGTGGTGCTAAATCTGTTGGCAAAAGAACAGAAAACTGACAGATTAACGAAGCGTACTTTTTATTGGGAAGACGTAAATGGTAACAACTTTCAGTGTGTATGAAAATCATAGCTCTTTGTCCGACAGTGGTTACGGCCATGTCTGTTCTCCTGACCAGAAGGTTCATGTTCTGGATACGTGTCACGGCACTGCTGACCAGGTTGATTAAAAACGTTATTGGATTTAGTTATCAGAGCCGCAATTATCAAAATGCTGATAGCACAGTTACTGGTGCTGTACGACAAGTACATGACAAAAAGAGGTTCCACATGCTCGTGGGCACCCAAAATGTGAACGGACATTCCACAAGCACTACTTTTCGGCAACTACTAACCAATGCATATTATAGGCCATGCACTCTTGGAAACAATTTATCAGCAAGGAAGGTAACTCATATTCTCAACCAAAGGAACTTAGATTTTGGAACATTGTAATTTAAAGCTCCATAGAGAGGACAAAATTAGGTGTCCATTTTATGGATAGCAACTTCTCTAAAAAAAATTGATTACTTTGATCAAAGTCACTGAAAGTTCCTCCAAAAAGAGTTTGTAATTTGCCACACACGACTAGGGTTAATTGCTTTTTCCTCCTGTTAGAGGAAGTAAATTGAATTATGCAAAACAAACTGTACTATCATCTACAAACTTATTTGTGACTGGCCAAAAAGAACTTAAGGAAACTCTAATACCATGAGCACATTATTTTAAAGCGCCACCCTGGCAGTTCAGCAAATTAAAACATCAAATGGCTGAGCCATTAGCTCACAAACTATTAAGATTTGATCATCAGAATCTAAGGGAGGCTAACACGATTAATTCAGCCACCTTGGACTGAGCATGAAAATGCCTGAGCTTCTCATTTCTCTGCTACAAAGAATCCAAATTAGCAGAAATTTACAAAGGACATGGGGGTGGGGGTGAAGAGCAGAAGAAACGGAAAGCAGGAGAGAAAGAAAAAAAAAGGCAGGTTCCAATCTTTACAAATCCACACTGGCATCAAGTCAAAAAAATGAAGTCTTAGAAATCTGGGTTCCAAGTACATAATGTGCTATTCGTAATTTTCAAAAACAAACTAATTTATTATCATTTAATCACAGCTGAAGATTAGTGACTTTCTCTACTGCTAAATTTGTATTTAAACTATATCCCCACCTCACTGAGAACTAATCACCTCATCAGGAATCTCCATTTTCCCTTTCAAGTCCTTCAATGTGCCAACATCCAATGCATGATTGAGGTGAACTTCTGATTACCACACAACTGCCTACATGTACCTCTAACAATCGCCAATCTTTCTGTTAGTCTCAGCACACTATCCTTTCATTTGCGGGATATACTGGCCTAACCATTGCATTACCCACCCCTAACTCTCCAAGGTGGTTATGGTGAGAAGCCTCCTTGAACTGTTGGGTGTATCGACATTATAGGGCCCAGAGTCCAAATGTCAAAACCATCTTCCTTCTGTTAGCTATGATTCTAACAGCAACAGCAGAGAGTTTTCCTCCCAATTTGCATCGAGTCCAGTTTTACGAGGGATCCTCAATGCCACCTGGTTAGATGCTAGCCTGAAGTCAGGAGCAGTAACCCTCACTTCCCCTCGACTTCAGCTCTTTTCTCTATGTTTGAGCCAAGGCCATAATGAGAGCAAAGCTGAGTATGGTGGAACTCAAACAGAGCAATGAGCTGGTTATTGTTGAGTGCCATTTGACAGCACTGAACATGCCATGATCCATCCTTTCGGATCCATAGCTTTTGCAGTATGCAGTTCTGTTAGCTGCTTCTTGATATCACAGTCAATAGAATTGGTGGAAGTCTGACAACCTCAGGAAGCCACGAGTCTACTTAGCACTTCTGACTGAAGATGCTTGCAAATGCTTAAGCCACATCTTTTGCATTGATGTGCTGGCCTCCATCTCATTTACAGTGGAGATATTTGCAGAATCACTTCCTCCAATGATCTGTTTAATTGTGCACCAATTAATGTGGAAGGACTGCACAGCTTACAGTTGGTTCTATTAGGTGTGGGATTACTTAGCTCTTTCACATGCTGTTTACATTTAAGTGCTTTACCAGGTTGACACCTCACTTGTAAGTAGACCTGCTACTCTTGACATGTCTTTCTGTATTTCATTGAATCTGGGCAATCCCCTGTCTTGGTGGTAACACTATGTAGATACGCCACCTCAGGTTACAGATCATGGAGGAGTACAATTCAACTGCAGCTAAATGGTTCAAAACACCTCAAGGAAGTTTAGCCTTCAATTGTTAGATCTGTTCAAAATTTATCCCGTACAACAAAGTAGGAATGCCACACAACATGATGGAAGGCACCCTCAATGTGAAAGCAGACTTTGTCTCCATAAGGACTATGTAATCGCCACATATACCAATATTATCATTGTCAGATGCGTTTACAACTATACTGAAAACTCAGGGGTTAAGTATGTTTATCCCTTGCATTGATTCCTTCATCATCTGCTACAGGTCTAGTCTAGCAGTCTGCGTCCTTTAAGACTGGGCCAGTAGTTATACCAAGCCACACTTGACAATGGACATTGAGGTCACTCACTCAGAGCTCATTCATGCCCTTGAAACCCTCAAGGCATTCCCCAAGTGGTGCTCAACATTGGGAGAAAACTGATTCATCAACTGAAGGGTTGTAGTAAGTGGTAACCAGAAGGAGGCTTCACAATCCTACAGTGTAGGTGATCATGTACTTCAGGCTGTTCTTTCACAGAACAATCTAGGTAATTCCACTCCTTTCCTGATCTCTAGTGCCCTGTGGTTTCTCCACCCCATTCTTTCAAATTCCTTTTGAAAATTGCCACTGAATCTGCTTCAGTTTTGTTATTCAGCACAAGAACTTCTCTCTCAAAAATTTCTCAGCTCCCACTTGGGTCCTTTGCTTATTACCTATATTTGCATGCTGTTATCAACAGAAACACACAGTCTCTCCACATCCACTAATAAAATCCTTTGGAAGTTTAAATATCAATTTAATATTCCTTAACATTATAAGCTTCAAGGACAAAATATCCAGCTTCTTTCATGCCTCCACATAACTGAAGCAACTCATTCCAGGTATAATTTTGGCAAAATTTTCTGCATCGTTTTAAAAGCCTCAACAAGTTTTAAATGTAACTGTACTCAATGAATTTATAACAAAACATTTTTAGCTTGACTATGAAGTATTTCATTGAAAACAATAAAACCAAAAATAAAATTTGATTTCATTGAGTTGAAACTAACCTGCATTTCATACGAAATACATACCTCCAATTATAAAAGTACCATGATTTACAAGTTTGAACATTTGTGTTGTTAAATTTTACACAAGTTTTTAAACATGCAAGGGGATGTGATAGCGTGGTTGGTATGCTTGCTAGATGATTGATCCATGTAATGTTGTTCTGTGGACCTGGGCGTAAATCCTGCCATGACAGATAGTGGAATCTAAGTTTGATAAAAATCTGGTATTAAGAGTCTAATGATGACCATGAAATCATTGGTCAATTGTCAGAAAAACAACTTATCAGGTTCACTAATGCCCTTCAGGGAACCGCCCTTCTTTGTTCTGCCCTACATGTGACTCCAGACCTACAGCAGTGTGGCTGATTCTTAGATGCCTTCTGGCCAATTCGGAATGGGCAATAAATGCTGGCCCACCCAATGACACTAAGTATTGGAGGGGGTGTCAAAGAGGAGTCTCCAGACCTGTGTCTATCAGCACACGTGAATCTTCATGCACAACTCTTTACTATGCAGCATGAGAGATGTTCCTAGGACAATGTCACTGGAACACTCTGCCTCTCCCAGTCAAATACACTAATAGACAATAAGAAAAACTTGACACCTCTCCTAATGTTCCGTGGTAATTTTGATATGCCAATCCCTCCTTCAAGCGCTCAGGATGTTGTGGTAGAAGCATAAGCAAAGCCGTATGAATATTATCAAATGAAGATTCAACTTTTTCCGCATGACATTTGCGGGTCTTCGAGTATCTCGGAAGGATTTCGGACGAAAGTAAGCTTCTGTTCTTTCCCTACACACGCATCTCCAATAATTCAACCCTCAACCCGTGCACAATAAAATAAGGGTCTAGGCCCGAAACATCAGCTTTTCTGCTCCTCTGATGCTGCTTGGCCTGCTGTGTTCATCCAGCTCTACACCTTGTTATCTCACAATAAAATCCACTGGTCCGGGATATCCCCGTTGATGAAAACACCTGCAAGTCACAACAACTGCCTGCCCTGGGACTCCCGGTCAACTTTTAAGCAAAAACAGCGACTAAACTTCAAGTGCCCACAACCGTTTCTCGCCAAAGCGCACATTACTTTAAAGAAAAAGTATCACTTCGCTCTAAAAGCCGAAAGGCAAAGAGCAAAAAAAAAACAAAAAAAAGCATTAACTCTGATTTCTCTCCGCAGATGTTGCCAGACCTGCTGAGCTTTTCCAGCGGTTTCAGTTTTTGTTTCCGATTTACAGCATCTGCAGTTCTTTCTTTTTTGTACAAAACATCTCTCTTCTCCCCTCACACAACACCGTTTTCAGCAGACGACGGCCACCGCCTTCCTTTTTATAAACTATTTTAAAAAACCCCAGGAAAACGATCGCAACGCTGCGCCTTCTTCGAAGAAGTCCGTCTGATTCGAATAAAATCCTCGCTACACATAATAACAAATAAAAAGACACACATACGGCATGCATAAATACATACGAGTCAGTGTTTGTGCGGAAATCGTAGGAGAGAACCGAACGTCTCCTCACTCCGAGTTGGGCGCCGCCATTTTGCGAGCCGTTACCCTGGGACTGGGCGGGAAAGTGGGCGGAGGAAAGAGCAGCGCGTGATGGTATGAGGGAGGCGGGGGGAACCTGCGCGAGAGTCGGGGTGGTGGTGGAGAGACGAAAGTGGGCGGAGGAAAGAGCAGCGCGAGTGATGGGGGGGGAGGGGGAAACTTGGAGGAGGAGGAGGAGAGCGCAGCGCAAGAGGCGAAAGTGGGAGGAGTCGAGAGCAGCGCTAGGGTGGTGGGGGGGGAGAGGAGGAGGGGAGAGGATAGCGCGTGTGGGGGAGGGGAAGGAGCAGGGAAGGGGGAGGGGTGTCGTGTAATGGTTGAATAGTGGCACCCCCTCCTGGGGCCCAGGCTGTGGTGGCCGGTTTGGTTGAGACGAGGCGCTATTGTTTCGCTTCTCCGAGGGAGGTTCGAGCTGCCGCTGGTGTTTCGGCCGCCAACAGCACCGCTGCTGTGTTTTCATTCCTTTTTTTTCAAAAAAAATTATGTATAAATGTGTGTCTGTGTGTGCGTGTTATTTTTTTTTGTCCTCTCCCGTGTGTGAGTTAATGTTAAACTGCATGGAGCCGCTGCAGCCCGTCTGAAAAGAAAAATATATTTATACCATAAATACACACATTTATATTGTCTACCACATTAACATACAATAGAGAACAAGATGTAAGTTGTTTTTTTTGTGTGTTCTTTTTTTGGTTGAGAGGAGATCGAAGAGTGCAGCGAGTGAGTAAAAGCGAGTCTTTGCTCTCTTTTTTTTTCTTTTTTTCTCTCTCTTAAACTTTCGCACTCGCTCCATCAATGACTGAGCGGCGGCGGCGGCGGCGGACCGGCTCTCCTTCCAGACATTGAATAAGTTCCCCGAGGCTTTTTATTTATTTATCATTCCCCCCCCCCCCCCCCCCCCACACACCCCCCCAAAAAAAAACACCCTCTCTCGCTTTCTCTCTCTCTCTCTCTCTCTCCACCCCACCGCCCCACACACA